AAAATATTTGCTGCAGGAGGGAAAGATGACCACAGAAGACAAATGTGTGTGTACAACAACAACAACAAGCTTTTATCTCGCTCTTTTTAGGTCTACCTCTATCTTTCTTAATATAAGTTGAATTAAATATATCTAGTCTCCTAACCAGATCATTAGATGGTCGACATTTAAAATATGTGTGTGTGTGTTAATATTAAAATGATTATTACAAGATATAGAATTCTATAAAAAAATATTTACTCATTTTTAAAAATTTGGGAGAAAATTTTTAGAGAAATTTTGATGTTATAGTTTTATTACTTTTTTAGTATAACTCCAAGCCTATTGTTTACATCCATGTTATTATGTATTGTGGGAACGTTTATATTTGTAAAAGGTAGCAAGTGTTTAAGGTTATATGAACACCTCATGTTAAACAAAGTGTTGACTACTTGCAAATTAAAATGATTGAAGTGCGACTTCTTGCAAAACGTCTGAAAATTAGAGCATAATTTTTAGAGAAATTTTGTTATTACCGTTTTAATACTTTTGGATGTTATACAAAGACCATTGTTTGCTACCATACTATTCTAGACCAAAGCTCTTGATATTATCATTCCTTCATTATTCATCGTCCCGCCTTGTTATGAATGACATGACATATATGGTTATTGTTTCATATGTTTCACACTAAATCTATTGCATAGTAATTTTGTCTTAAGGGCCTAGTTAACACAAAAAGGGCAAAAAAAGCTGAGAAAAAGGAGGCCAACAACCATGGATGGTCATTCGATAGGGAAACCTACAACAAAAAATGAAGTCCAAAATTGTTGGGTGTGATCTAATAAGTGTTTAAAATTATTTTGATGGTTTCTTATGTTTGATTATGATGGGACCCAATATGCTAGGTAAGAGCTAAAATTTCATACTTGTGACTTCAAACGGATTTCAAATTAATTAATTTGTAAATATAGCAAAGGATAATTTATCTTATTGCAATTTATTTTGCTTTTGTAGGTTTTATAAGAGAAATAGGGCTGACGATGATCATCACTCCACAGTACCAAATTCAGCCATCATCTCTTGGCCCAACAAATCACCTAGACACCAACCTAGAACAGCAAGTTGTAGCACCATGCACCTCAAGAAAAACATTTAAATCCTATCATCTCACTATGGCCCTAGATTGGTTTAGTTTGATCAAATGAATTGAACCATCTAGTTCTTGGGTTCCTATTAGAAAATGATATCAGAGCACAATATATTATATCTTAATAAATTGTCTAACAGAAAGAGCAAGAGTGTAAGTCTTAAGACACAATCACCAATTACAAAGTCTGCACTAATACTATAGGTAGGCATGAATGTGTAGTAGTTTGCATATAACAAAAACCAATGAGGATGGAACCAACATGTTGGGAAAAGCAATATTGTCACGGCAGGAGACAACACAACACCACTAAAAACAATAGAGACAATTACTAATTCATCAAATGTCCTCATTTTGCATTCTTCCTACCCTCAGTTACAAAAGTAAAAAATGTCTATAGAATTTTCACTTTTCGACGGTATTTGGCTGCACGCATGATTTAACAAATAGGATTTAATAAATCTTGTAATTCATATTTATCATTATAAGTTTCCTTCATGTTCGTATATTTTATTGTGTTATTTTTAGTAGAAAAGATTAAAAAAATATATTTATATTAATAATTTATTCATATAAAAAAATGTATCGATGGCATATCGTGTCCTACTTTTTGCAACTATGTCGTGTTAATGTATCGTATTTGTGTCGTGTCCATGTTCATGCTTCACAGCCAACCATAAGTTTTTTGTGTTAGTATTTCTCATATCAGCTGTTGTGAACAAAGCACTGCCTGTTAAAATAAAACTAGTCTCATCAAAAGTTGCCGTTGAATTTTCTCCCATTGCCTCCAAGATGCTGAAGATCGCAAATTTGAGTAAGAAAAAAACCACACGGCAATGCAAATGTAAGACTTTTGACGTTACTCCTTATATGCTAAATTAGGGGAAGCTTCCTGGATTGAATATACCCTTTGTTCGCTGAAATCAGTCTTGCGTATCGCCCACAACTCTAGAACTAAATTTTGAATAAGCCTTACGATTCACCCTAAACTCTAAAACTAGGTTTTGAATCAGCGATTTCACTGATGGCCTTTCCACAAAAATGGGGGGAGTCATTTCGTTGTTCTGGGGTTAAACTTTGTTAATCGATGCAAAAGCATGCTGTGACAAAAAAACTGCCTTTCTAGAGCATCAAGGGGTTTACAGTAGCAAATTACTAGAAAATATACTTCAACTAAAAGCACCAGTTTTACAAGAAGGTGTATTTCGTGATCACAAAAAGACCATAAAACATTGAGCAAACACCGGACACCTTAATTGGAAGGAAGGGAAAAAAATTAATTAATACTTTAAGGTGAATTTAGATTACAGATAGCTGAATTAGGCAATAAGTGTTGATATTATAAGATGAGAAACTAGGGCTTAAAAGCAAGTTTACAGCGACGTATTGGAATTAAATTTACTGATTTCAAATTTTAAATATTAGACATTTATTTTATTGTGATATTTTTTTATAAGTATACCTAATTTGATTAGTACAACCTTTCTATTTCATATTATAATTTCATTTTCAACTAGAAACTGAAAAATAAATAATCTTTTTTTATCTAGTTTTCAAACAAGGCTAACTAATAACTGAATTTAATATTGAAAATGACCACTATTGAAACTGGAAATTTTACAACATGAAACCTGAAAACAGTTTTAACCCCATGGTTAAATCTTCTAGTTGTAAGTTGAATAGGATTTTACAAATTCATATACGCAATCCAAACTACCAAACAAGAACTTCCCAAATTTCTGAGTCAAAAGAGTAAACTAGACCCAAGTCCATGCACCAAATGTCAGCTAAACAGGTAAATATTTGAGTCAACTCAGTGCACGAGGAAAAAAAAAAAAAAAAACCAACCTTAGACCAGGCGCTCTAATAAGCACAAGGAGATCAAAATAAAAAAGGTAATTTCATTGAGTGAAGTTATTTGAGTCAAGTATAGGAAATATTTCATATTACCCTTGGCAAAGAAACTATCATCATGTTCAACTGCCTGTTAATTAGCAGGAAGTCACCAAATGCATTTGAGAATGTCAGTAGAAGTTATGATCTAACAAAGGATTTGGTAGAACATCCTACATTTAACATATATTTGTTTGCAAGTATTCATGATACATGTGTACTACAAATGTAGTGTAAATTGAATATGATTCATTTGTAATTAGGGGTACAAACGAGCCAAGCCGACTCAAACTTGACTCGCTAATAGGTTCGTAAGTCAATCTTATCAACGCATGAGCTTGAACTCATATATTAAATGAGCATGGGATTTTTGACGAGGTTCGACTCATTGGCTTGTGAGCTACCTTGTATGTCCAATCATTGGTCACATTAATGTCTTTCCCAGGGCTCTCACTGTAACTTCTAATCCAACTGCTGGTCACGTCAAGGCCTTCCTCTGTGAGCTCCCACAATTACTTCTCCAATTGTTGGTCAATTCAACGCTTTTACCAATGGGCTGCAGTGACAACAACTTTGGCCAAGCTTACGAGTTGGCTTCAGAGCTTGTTGTTATTGCCATGAACTTGAGTTTAAGCTCACAATTAGATGTTTGAGAACTAAAGCTTGACTCAACTCATTTACACCCCTACTTGGAATACTCAAAAGATTATTTATGTGATTATAACATAAACTTGGGAAACCAATTTTTTATGTTTGGTTGGTAGTAAAATGAATTTAAAATTTTGAATTAATATATTCTATTAAGAAAATATTTTTGATATTAACATATTATTTAAAAAAAACTAAAATTAATGTTGGGAATTAGATGGCGAGGGAGCAGCTCAAAGGACGCCAGGGATGGAAGGTACAGAGACAAGGTTGGAAGGATAAGCAGCCATGTGGGGTCTTTGAGGTGTTGTGGCATCATGAGTTCATTTCTGGAACCATAAATGAAAAGGAGGCAGCAAAGGCAAGCACAAATGCAATAGCCGATAAGGATGCAAAGACGACGACAAATGTTGATGTGGGAGCGATGACAACCACAGGGGCTACGGTAACGACAGGCATGGGGAAGTTGGGGCATGATCTGCTGACGGGATTGGTCAATTAATTTTGATTGTATCCTATTTGAGTGAATTCCAAATTAATCAAAAAAGTGTACTTATTGGTATTATAAATTTCTCATAAACATAATTTACATTTTGGGATTGGTCAATTAATTTTGATTGTATCCTATTTGGGTGAATTCCAAATTAATAAAAAAAGTGTACTAATTGGTATAATAAATTTGTCATAAACATAATTTACATTTCAACCTTCATATCAAACACCCGAGAACTGAAAGACCGTATATTCAATTTACTTTGCACTTGTATACCTCAAAATAAACAATACCTAAAAAGTTGTAAGAACGGTTTAGCCTAGCAAAACTTCAAGAAAAAAACTCTGCAAAAAGAGCTTCAATCACTGTCAGGCCAAAAAAACTCATGGTCAAACCACAACTTTAACAAACAGGACAGCTTCACAATGAATTAAGCAACTTTACGTTCAACATAAGCTATGATTTCAGCTTCTTCTCAACTGACCCTTTTATTTCACCGCTTCAGAATGTTAAGAGTATAAATTTTCAGAAAGCATGCTTTACAAAATGTTTCAGGCTTGCAGCTTATAAGTCTATAAGAGGCTACATTGCAACTTAACCTGAGCTTGAAAAAATTCTCTCAATCACCTCAACAAGCACACCCAAGTATTTAGGGAACTAAAAATGAGTACAGCTTAGGTGCAGTGGCCATGATATACAGCTCATAGCTGGCATGAAGATTCGTCCAATGTATGAGAGTTTTGTTAAAAAGACCAGTTAAGTTGAAAAACTTTTAAAAGTAATTTGTTCAGAACATCATATCCCGGAGCACAAAAAGAATTGATGAGGAAGACAAACCTTGATTGCATCAATATTTTTTTGCTTGATGTCAGCAGCTGAGTGGAGAGAAGTGAACTTTGCTAATGAAGTGATGAAAGCATCTCTTTGGGTTTTCATAGACATAACTGCTGTGACATGGATTGCATGGCGGAATCCTTCTAGGCATAGGGATATTACTGATTCATCATCACTCTGGTCAAGTGGAACGCTAAAGGCTGCTAACATTGGTGCCCAGCAAACCTCAACCATGAATTTCAAAATTACCACATCGGCTGCAGCATAATATACTGACCTAAAAATGTATAAACAATCATTTCACACTAACAGGACGGATTTAGATGAATTTATTGTATGTGTAAACATAATAGGAGTTACTTCCTATACACATTACAAATATAGTGTAACTTTGTTAATTAAGATAAAAGAACCAATAATATGTTATTAAGTGAATAGCAAAAAAGTATGAGCCACGTTTGTGGCAGGGCAATAACATAAATTCGCTACTTTTGCAAGACTGGCATATAAATTGAATTAACTTACTCAGTTTTGCGAGCTTTTTCCTTGAATTGTTCTTGCATGTGCCTAATTAGATCATCACTTGTCTCTAGAGGTGCATCCCTCTTGCGTATGACAAGATTCAAAATGCTATCCAAGCCTAGTATTTTGCTTGAATTTGTAGATTGTTTTTTATTAGGAACCAATTCATCTTCTTTCATCTTAATTTCATTCCTGGAAATCCTTTCATATAAGGCTCTTAAGTATTCTTCAGGTAGATCTTTGCCATCATCAATACCACGATTATTACTTATAAAATCCTCTAGAGACATCTGCATCAACGAATACAATAAGATGTCATTTTTTAACCACACAAAATCAAAAGAGAGTAAAAATTGTAAGAGACCTTGTTTTTGACCATTGGGTTGTGTGCATCGGTATTGAGCATTATTACAGAGTAGGCAAGGATGTAAGCTGTGTCTGCACTAGAAAAGACATTTGGGTTGCATTTGCAGTACCGCTGAGCAAATTTTTCCATGATCCTATCAATTTTTTGTGCCTCACCAGGCAGCCTAAAGCCTTGTAGAAAAGATCTGATTGCTTCATCGAACTCCATTCCTTGAAACTCAAATGAATCCACAAATGCATGCATAACTTTTAAAGGTAAACCCTCTCTCTCCCCTAAGTAATCACCAATAAGTGTTTTGTTCAAGCCAGGTGTACTTTTAAGGAAAACAGCTATTTCGTCTGGCGAATCACCTACCTTCTTTGCATTAATAAGGAATTCAATGCCTTTTTTGGGTTTCTGATTAAAAACTGATATACCTTCCTGCAGTATTTTTTTTTTTTTTGGTGTTAGCTTTACTGGTAAAGAATCACAATAACATAGTATCAGATATTTGTTCACCTGAAGTTCAAGTTTGTATGCTCTCCGCTTCTCCAAGGATGCAGCTTCTGGTAGACCATTTGCCGTTTCAGAGTGAAAATCTGATCCCCCGGGTGGCAGTTCTGCTCTAACATCTTCCAAATGGAGCTCATTTCCATTTTCTGTATTGCTCTCAGCAATTTCAAGTGGAGGATCTGGTATTCTCAATTGTTTATTCATCCAATTTCCCATTGAGTTTAAAATTGCAACTAAACACCTCATTGCTTCACTTTTCATATAAACATCCTGAGGTGGAACCAATGTGGTAGAAGAGCCTGCTGGTGAGCCCTGAGCAGTCTTCAACAAGCCATTAACCATCCTATGACAAAATAATAAGCATATAGTAAACATAGATTCAATTATAATGTCTAAAATGCTAATTCTAATCTATTAACCTATTTTAAGCAATCTATAGCTGTACAAAAATAGATTTCAGTTAGCAAAGATCTATAGACTGCTTATCAAAGAAAATTCGGCTGTAAACAGACAAAAAAATAGATTTAATAATCAGCATCTCAATTTTATGTAAAGCCATGTTTAGAATTATAAACTATAGACTGCTTATCAAAGAAAATTCGGCTGTAAATAGACAAAAAAATAGATTTAATAATCAGCACCTCAATTTTATGTAAAGCCATGTTTAGAATTATAAATGTGGGACGTTATAGAAGTACTAGAAGCAACAATCAAATTTACGGTCATATGCATTTGGAAAAATAAATATGACAACCAATGATGAGAATCAAGGAATATTATTGTATGATAGGTGAGCATATCTTGGAGCTACAATGCACTGGAATATTAATTTTGATATTTTTGATTCAGGGAGTCATAGGTGTTTATGCTGATTTTTTTTTTAATCTTTTTCGGGAATTTTCATGCACATGATTTTATGATGGACAGAAAACAAAATAAAACCATAGGTTTGTCCCATAGGCAAAAATTCTACCTTAAATTTTGAAGTTTATTTCATTCAGGTAAGTCGTGTATATCTAAGAACAATCAAAAAACTATACAAGTAAACAAAACCCTGTAGTACCAATACATTAACTGCCATAGATGTGCCAAGGCAAATCAACTGTACAAATAATGAAGTGAACAGTGTAAGACAAGCGTAAATGCTATACCTCTCAAATATATTCGGTGAGTGCACGTCACAATCATAATTGACAAAAATATCCACCAGGATCTGAGAATCCACGCATAGCTTGTCCAAAAATCGAAGAACAATCATCTTCTGCTGAAAGTTGGGTTGAGCAACATTTTCAAGAACTCTGAGAACAATCATGGGGAAAAAAACTCCGATTTCTGCCTTCAATCCTGGTCGAAACCTTGATACCAAGCTCATAAAAATAGAGCAAGAAAGCTGGTAAACAACCATGAGAGTTGAAGCACTGTTCTTCAATAGGGATAGGCATAGATACTGCTTGATAGCCCCCAAAAATCTGCATAATAGGGAGCAAGTGTTCAGACCCAACAGAATTTGCAAAATGTATATGACATCTTTCAGAACATAGCCGAATAATGATAGAAGTCAACATATATTAAACGGGTGATATTTTAAAATAGAAAATCATGTTCTCCTCACTTTATGCACTGGCTGCTGTAGAATTGCATAGAATGGGAGTAAAAAAGCTGCATGCTAAGCAGACACTTTTAGGGATCATTCTGCAGCCTCCCTCTAGATATCCCTCTGAATAATAACTTTATCAAGGAAACCACAACACTAGCGCCACTAAATAGTCATTTCAAAATACACTGTTCTTCGTCAACAATCTATAAGCACCACTCGATATTGTTAAATCTTATCAAAACATAATTACAGTTATCATTAATTATAAATAATTGTCAGTGTAACACTTAATTTCGTATTGTCCCTCTTGATTAGAAACCTCACTTGATTTTTAATGAAACCATTTTGGAATTTTCAAGTGCTCGGCAAAATTGTTGGTAAAAAATTAGGATTTTTAAAGCCATGTGGTCATTATCTTTTATTTTTACCCTCTTAGAAATTCTGATTAATATTTGGGCTTACATATAAAAATCAAATACAATTAAATAGTATATAATATCAATCAATATCATAAAGGTAGCGTTTGTGCAAAAGGTCTAAGAATCAAACATCATTTTGATAAAATTTAAGTATAAAATGCTATATTAGTAAATATCCACTCATTTCATGGTTTTGAAGCTAAATTTTCTATCTTTAACAATGTACGAGCTCAATTGCAATACTAAATATTTTCTTAGCATAGATGCATTCCCTAAATATATCAAATGGGGCGGACAACCAAACTAGAGATATGCCTCAGACAAAATAATACCCATAAAAAGTAATAATCAAACTTATTTCAAGAGCTCATAGGAATGTATAGCAGAAATCTATTTTAAAAACATTTTAAAATGTTGAGGAGCCATTGGATTAAGGTGGGTTGGCAAGTATGCTACATAAGAAAAATTAAATGCCACAAAATCAGTGCTTACGAGAAAACAACTCTCCCACAGATTCAAATACAAACAGGAATTAAAGAGCCATGAATTGCCCCCTAACATCATTCGTAATCCCTAAATAAATCAAACAACGAAATAATGAGTGCTTTTTTTAATCATTTACTATTATATTATTTATCTCATTTTTCTTTCAATGTAACTTCGTTGATACATACCCATTGCAAGCATGAGCGATTCAAGCTTTCCAATCCAATTCTTCATTTCTACATGGTGTCAAAGGTACGTTAAGTTTGTAATTTCCAACTCCTTTTGTATTCACTATGTCATTTTTTTATTTCCCTTTCACGGAGTCAGCCATCATGAATGATGAAAATCAAACTAAAGGAGAGCCTGGGGATCTATATGCCCAATATCAGTTGAATAAAACTATTTAAAAGTAGTCTCAATTTGTGAGAAATTACCTAACAAGAAGGAATTAGTGACCACTAGTTTAATGTAATTACTACAAGAAAATAAGAGCCTAATTAGTGGTAATTAGAGGTAAAACATCGACTATGACAACCATCAAACTTTTTAAATTTACAATTGACTACATTAATTTTCCATGGAGTTTCTCGTGGTCACTAATTAGTACAGGAAAAATAAGCACATAAATATACATATATATATATTAGGGAAAAATAAGCACATAAATATACATATATATATATATTAGAAACTCTATGGAAAGCCTCAAAGCTATAGTGAAAATAAAAAAGTTCACTCCATATGACAAACTTAAGTTGTTGAATCAAAAACACTCAAAAGAAATTAGCAAACCTAGAAACTTCATCAACTCCCTAGAAAATATCTTTGGGTTATGTTCTTTTTCTAAAAATACTGTGAATTCTAACTCTCATATTTGTAATGCCTCAAAAAATTCTCAAACCTCGATTCTAATATTAAGAGCCACGACCATTTCACAAACCTCTACAACCTTTTCCGAACCAACAAATCCTGTCCCGACAATAAGAAAATTAAAGCGGTCAATTGTTCTTTAATAATTGTGGCTGATCAATAGGATATTTCTATTTCTCCAATATGTACCGTTATTGCCTTAAAGTAAATCTTCTATCAATTCATAAGATTATTAAACAAAAAAAAAACTATAAGGCAATTTTTTGTGCTAATCAGTGTGTGTTAATTTTGAATAACTTTTTTCTCCATGAATACATAGATAATTCACCTATAAATAGGCGTGTACAAGAGATAAAACGAGGAAAGAAATCTTCCTACAATTAAGTAATTATTATAATTATGGAATAAACATAAATACCTATAATTAAGAATTACTCTTTTTATACTATGACTAAATATAGCAAGTACTAAATAGAATTAAAGTAAATAATAATGAGCGTAATTCCACACTCCCCCTCAAGGTGGGTTGTACAGATTGTACATGCCCAACTTGTTGGTTAGCTCATCAAAACTGGACTTAGGGAGAGTCTTGGTGAGAATGTATGTGGTTTGGTCTCTAGAAGGAGTATAGACCAATTCAATGATTCCATTGTCCACCTTCCCTGAAATGAAGTTCCGATCAATCTCAATGTGTTTCGTTCGGTCATGATGAATAGGATTCTTTGCGATACTGATTGCAGCTTGATTGTCACAGAACATCTTGATAAAATTTTCTTAGTATTTTCTCCGATAATACCAAGCTCTTTGAGAAATCTTTTGATCCACATTCCTTCACATATACCAAGTGTTAGTGCTCTGTATTCTGCTTATGCGCTACTCCGAGATACCACCGATTGCTTCTTACTTCTCCATGTCACTAGATTGCCGCATACATACGAGCAATACCCAGAGGTTGATCGTCGGGTGGATATATCTCCTGCCCAGTTAGCATCAGTAAAGACTTTTACCTTTTGACTATCATTCCTTTTGAATAATAATCCTTTTCTCAGGTGTCATCTTTAAGTATCTTAAGATACGGTTGACAGCTCCCATATGTTCCTCAGTAGGACAGTTCATGAATTGACTTA